CCCCAAAACCCCAAAACCCCAAAACCCCGTTTTAGAAACGAAGAATTGAAAATAATTATGCTGCCTATTATTCTGAGTGGTCAGATATTTTGGCTTTTTCGAAATTGTTTGCATCAAGTATTTCTCTTACTTGGTCCAGAGGCATTCCTCATCTTTTCATTCTGAAAGATTGCAAATTTGATACAAAGTCTTCACTTTGAGATAATCCTTTTATTAAGTTTTCAAACCTTTCTGGGTACGTTTTCCAATCTCAGTATTCTGGCATTCCTCAATAAGATAGTACAAGTGTTTGAATTTTAGATCCGATAAGACAGTGTTTCAAATTTGGAACAGTGTCTAATTCAAGCTTGCAACAAGGAAACCCTAAGAATTTCTCATTATCTTTTGTGAGCTGAAATAGCGTTCTCATCTGGCTTTGGCTCACTTCAAGGTTGTAAAGATATAGTGTTTCTCCAATTTTTGGATTCATAAATCATAAAACATCAATGATCTCGTCGCTATTTATCATTTTTCCTCAGAAATTAAAATAAAGTCAATTTGCTTTCTGAGGAAACGAAGAAAATATAAAGTCTCTGGCTGTTTGCAAGTTGTCACTAATCCGATGGATTCTGAAATCCTCTAAATTAGCAATAATGTTGCTCCCCATTCAGTTAACAAATTCAAGATCTTCTGAATTTTCAAAGTCAAGTTGAAACTTTTTACTTGTTTCAATGTTGCTTTTCTTTCTCTTGAATATTTCAATAGACTGGCCGAGACCTTCCAATGTTGTTGGATTTAGCATTGTAATAACTCGCTTTTTGAAAGTTTGAAATTCCTGTTTCACATGCTCATATTTGTCAGTAATATCTCTAACTTCTTCGTTGTGGCTCATCTCATTCGTTTCGTTGATTTGTAAGTCAAAGTCTTGACCAATTTTAGACTTGTTCACTTTCAAAAAGTCTCAAACAAGAGAGATGTAGTTTTCAACTCAGAATTGTTGAAAAATCTCATTGTTTTTGAGATATGTTAAGATCTTCCTCAGCTCTTGCTTGACTCCATTTAGATTTTCATATTGATGCTTCTGTTGAATGACTTTAATCTCCTTTTCAATGCCATCAGTTTCATCCAGAATTTGTCTGACTAAAAGTTCTGAAAACTCAAACTTTGCATTATTTTCTATTGAACTTCCTGCAATCCATAGATTTTTAGTACAAGTTTCAAGAACTTTGAGCATATCTTTGATGCTATCTACTTCAGCTCTCTCACCAATTTTTACTCAAATTGCTCTCTGACTTGGTTTGCAATGAACCGAACAAATATAAACCTTGAAATCTTTATGAAAATAAATAGCCTCGTTGCTACATCCTTTTGCTTGTCACTTCCGACCAATCTCCATTTTATCCCTCTAATTCCGACTTTATTCCTCTATAAAAATCAGCTACCAAGGGGTTTTGGGGTTTTGGGGTTTTGGGG